TATAGTATGTTATACACTGTACACACTGCAATAATCCTGTTTAAGGATTGGTTTGAAAATCCATTCATTAAGAAGTCAAACATTATTTAGAACAGCAAAGCCCGAGCTTTAAAGTTCTTCTAATTCTCTATCATGCTCTAGGACACAGTACTGAAACCCTCACAACACTGCATTCAAACGTTAACATTTTATTTTTAACCATTGAACACCACTTCCTTAATCTAACCAATGGATCAAGGAATCCTAAAAACATTCCGGATATTATGTCAGGCTTTTTTACATAGCTACAAATAAAGAAATAGATGAAGGAAAGTACACCCTGCTAATGGCATTTTGGAAGCAATTCAACATAAGCACTGAATAGAAACAATTAAACTCTCACAGGAATAAGTGAATTTGTTAGCAATGAATGCTTGCTGGCATCAACACTGCCCAGAAGTTTTCAACAATTTTAAAGAATTTCCATCGACTGAAAATGAAGCCGTAGAAATCACACAAATTGCAAAAGCAATAAGTGAAGGATTTTAAGATGTGGAAGAAGGAGAAATTAAGGAATTAATAGAGAGTGTGGATCATGGATTGACAGATAAAGAATTGGATTATCTTGTAACACAAACCAATGGTGAATGCATCGATAAAAAAGAAGATGAGGAGCCTTTGACATACAGGAAAATATATGAATTCATAGAAAAGACATAGGAACTGTCTGGTTTTGTAATAAAAACTGACCCATATGAAGAAAAACACTTTATAAGAGGTATTGAAAAACTTACCCTGAAATGTTTAATAAGTTCTGACATATACAGTCAAAAGTTGTTAATTTGGACACTCATAATCCGGAATGATCTATAATCCGGATTTCAAAGCTAAAACCTTTCTGCGCATGCGCCTCGTTGACACATGCGCATAGGCGTTTACGCGAGCGCGTAAGACCTATTACCATTACGCATATGCGTGTGCGCAAGCGCAGAATACGTTTTCGCGTGCGCGTTTTATGTATAACGGACGGTATAATCTAAAATTATCTAATTATCTATTTCAGTTAATGTTCATGATTGCGTTGTTCCTTAATCTTCGAATTGGATCCAGCTTATTATTTTTTGCAGACTGTTAGAGCAATTTTGTAAAAGTAAGCTTGAACTTTCGATTATGTCAAATAGAATTTCCGATTCTGGAGCTCCCAAAGGATCGTACAAAATGAAAGTATGTTTCGATGTCCATTAAACAAAAAGTGGAATTGCTGCAAAAAATGGATAAAGACATGAAGAATGTGACAGAGAGGTTAGTGAAAATGAAAAAATTTCGATTGACAAGTTAGTCGGTATTCTCGGCACAACAATTAACGGGACTTGAACAGCGGAACTTTGTAACTGAACAAGAAGTTGTGTCTGTTTATAGAATTAAAGAGAAAGTATTATCATATAAAACGAAACAACTTAAAACAACTTACATTGAAAGAAATGTTTAATAAAGTAAACAAATAAATATTAAGCTTTTTTTTTTTTTTTTTTTTTTTGTAAATTTTGATACCCTTTAGATTATAATTGTTCTTTATTTCATAAATTAAGGTTTCATATTTTTAATTTTAGAATTTCTGCATGCCATCTTACGAGATTTAAACTGATGATCTATAATCCCGAATCGCCGAAGTCCCGACGAGTCCGGATTAACGACTTTTGACTGTACTATTTTTAAATAGTTGGTGATACTTGCAAAAATCACCAGCTATTTAAAAAAAATTATGGTACTTTTGCATTTCTCTGCCCAATGGTTAGAAGAATAACAGGCAAAGCGCTATGTCGCCAAAGTAGACAACCCATGAATATAACAAGTATGTATTTTATCTAATAACCTACTGATGGTTGAATGCCCACTATGCTGGCCCATGATACACACTGCTTTGGAACTGGAGAGTTATATTTGTAATTTCTGCTTTGTATGGAATTTTTGTTTTCTAAGGAATCGTAAAAATTTGTGGAGTTTGCCTGCTAAGGAAAAGACAGTATTTATGAAAAATTTAAACCTCAAAATTAGTTTATGAACTATTTTTTATTGAATGTGATAATAGTTTTCTTCGAATAAATGCAATTCTCTGATTTTATTTAAGTTAAACAGGTCATTACGCAAATGGACTCAGGAAATAGAAAGGTAAGTGCCTTATTATGGATGTCTGTTTCATTTTTAATTTGTAATTAAATGTAATTTTTAGAGTGCTGGCATTTTTTTTTTAAATGGCTACTGTTTTTCACATAGGTTGGTGACAAAATAGTCATCAATGATTGGCAAATTTGAGGGAGCACTAGGCAGATAACACAAAAGTACCTACTTATTTATTAAGCAGTCATAAAAAATTTTCAACTAATATTTCTTTCATCTGCAATAATATTTTTAGGTTTCCATAAACTATACATACTTTCTTAATCTAAACTATAACTTACCCCTTTTTTTTACACAAAAAATTAACTTTGCAAGACACAGTTTTGCCATACACACAATGTGTTAATAATGTAACACTGTGTTTGGCAAGATTTACCCTAAATATATATTTACACAAAAGTCACTTGTTCATTTTCGGTGAAATGAATTCAGCTACTCATTAACTTTAGTCATAAAGTCAGCTAAGCTGATAAAGACACACCCCAGAGGAGACAATTTGGCATTGCAATTTTGTTCCTATTTTTGAAAGCAGAACTTAACAAATCATCCTGAACAAAACAAATTCTTCAGAATAATCAGAAAATGGTGAAAAGCATTCAAGTTATAAAACTGTAAGAAATTTCAGTACTTTCTGATTATCCACATCCCTCCTGAAATTTCACCAGTAGTTGACAACTAATTTTTTGCCAGCTAAGAAATGAAAAACAACAGGACACTAAGAATTACATAAAAATAGCAACTAATAAACAAAATTGAAAATGCAAGGAACATCATACTACAACACTTTTTTTTCCCTATTCTTCCCATGTATACAACAATCTGCTTTTGCTTAAACGGAATCAGAGAATGGTACAAATTCAGCATTGGTGTACAAAGTTTGATGTACAAAATAATTCAATTACTGAAAAAGTACAATTTCATGGAACACATATTTGTGTATTCTCTACTGTTAAGGCAAATGCTCTATTTCCAAAGAAACACAGCACTTTTCTTTCAATTAGACAATGAACTTCCCAATCTCTTTACGATTTATAATATATATAAAAAGAAGCCATCAACAATAAAAATAAAAACCAATGACCTTTGTATTTCAGAATGGAAATCAGCACTCGTTTTCTGCAGAGGTCTACTAAGTTGCCACACAAATGCATTTTGGCGACATCATACGTTGAACATTTTGATGACATTGTGATAAATAGTTTTCAGGGTGGTGCAGATAATTAGAAAGTAACAACCCACTGGAAGTAATATACAATCTGGCAATTTGTAAATGTTTTGAAATTTGATCCTGGAACACAGGATCAAGGTTCTTGATATATAAAGAGTTCTTGCCATGCTGTTTCTGTCAAAGATAAGAAACTGCAAATTTATGATACAAAAATATTAAAATGAATAAAAATTCCATCTGTAAGAGCATGCACTCCTCTAATAAAAGTTCCTAAACTCCTACATAGTAAAAAACTGTTAAAAGCCCTGCTTTAAAAACAGATTCTTTCAAGAAAAGAATTTTGTTTTTTCCACTTCAGCAGATGTCATTGCTAAATAAGGAGATGATACTATTCTGAGTCTCATAAAGGAATGAATACAAGAACTTTTCAAATATGAAAAGAGTTAATTATGTTACCAAAATGGAATTCAAAACAATTTATTTATTTCAATTAATAAAACATTTTATTATACTATAATAACTGCAAACATATGTACTTTGTTTAATATCAAATACAATATTGCAAATGGCTGTGACTTTATGTCATAGCAACTTTGGTCAGAAACAAATTAACAGGTTTCATTCTTGGTGAGGTAGCTATCAATACACACAAATAAGTCAACATTATCAAACTGCAAATAGTTTACATTTCTTTGGTTGGTGAAAATTTTAATTTTCACCAACCAAAGAAAAAAAAGGTGCAGGATTATGGCTAGCCAACATTTGGTGTCCTAACTATGCTCAGATATGGCTACCATGATAATGTATTTGACACATGACTAGCAGCAGTTGCTGAACTGTGGCCACCAAAAAAGTGTCTATTGAATTTTGGTTATATTTCAACACGTTAATTTTGGTACTATTATATACGCCCTCAGATGTATGGCGTCGCCAAATGTGGCAATATGTGTTCTGTGCTGGATTTTGGCGGAACTGTGTATTCTGCGATGGTTTTTGGCACAATGTTGTTTGTATGGCAACCCTTTTGACATTGAAACTTTATTTTGCTGGAGTGGTTGTCCGAAATGCGGAGCTGATATGAGAACTCGTACGAGGAATGCCGTTTCTGATGGACTTTTGTAGGTTTGCAGGCAAATGGTTGTGGGTAAAGTATGTGGCTGTCGGGGAAGGTTTTTTGCATAGTAAATGAAATTTGGAGGAAGTTTTTATCATTACTTTCAAAATTTTGAATCGCAAAAAGACATATACTATAGCAAAATTGTGGCACTTTTGTTCACAGCGGCTGTGTGACTGCCGAAATTTTAAACAATATTAAATATTAATTTTGGTGATCACCAACACAGGGTCAAAAATAAATAGAAATTTACCACCAGATTACTTTTTTTTGTTAACATAGTATAAATTATAAAAAGATGCATTTCCTTGGTAATTTATTATAATTTAAATTAGGAATTAGCCAGTGTATACACAATTCTAAAAAGGGCAGAACAAAAATGACATGATTAAAATTCATGCCACTGACTGAAAGCACACTATATAATTTTAATTCTTTACTATTTACAGCAATTTTCATAACGATATAAAATGTTTTTAAGTGGTTACGTTTTATATGCTATGACTAAAACAACAAAAATATTTAATACTAGTCTATTTATACATGCCTGCAAAAATCAAATCAAAAAGCATACCATGTGTTTATTTTCATTAATGGAATAGGCGCACAAGTGAAAAATACTGTAAGTAATAGAAACAATTTTCTTCCCCATACATCTGATAATGCTCCTATCAATGGAGCACTAAGGAAGGAAAGCAAACCCTGGGGGGAAAAAAATTCAAACTTTTATTCACAATTCATAAATAAAAATATAAATGAGAGAATAAGAGATTTGGCAACCATGCAGTACGCGATCTATCGCTTTTAATTATTTATAGTGGCAATAAAACTGATTGTTGTTTTAATCATTTATTTTTCCTGATATTTTATTGCATTCAAACTTAAACAGGATTTTAGTGGCACTACCTAAGAAATAACTAACAAACTAAATGCAGTAGATATTTCACACTACATGATTACCAGACTTTTATTTCTCAGTATTCATATAATACAAGAATTTTTTTTATTTAGTCTATTTTTAATGCATTAAATCTGAATTAATTAACAGTATAAGTATTAATTTTGGTACTTAAAACATTAACCCATCGATTATAAAATGGTCAGAAAGCAGAGCACTTTAGTTTAATTATGGATAAGTGGATATCGCAACATCTGAGCTTTCATCTGGTGTAACCCCGAATGATTCTTGATAAGCTGCCTTTTGTACAGAAGGTAACCATAAATATAAATTAACTTTTCCCCTGCATTTTGAAGAAAAAAATGAGTTTGAGGGCTGTAGACACATTTGTAATGGCACACCATTTTATTTACAGCTAGTCGAGTTAACATCTATTGAATGGGGAGAAAATAGTGGCTGGATATGCCCAACAAAACAGTAATAGAGTGGAAAAATCACTTGTGGGACGTTTCTACTAACAGCAATCTAAACAGAGCTCCTGGTAAAATAGCAGGGTCTAAAAACAGTAGAAATCAATAAAAGCATTTTTACAAAGGGAAGGAAAAAAAAAAAAAAAAAAAAGAACAAAATGGATTATACACTTCTTCAGCAGTGGCTATTATTTGATAGACTGACGAATGTCTTACTGTTAGAGCTGCAAATAGAAGTGTGGCTCAGAATTCCTTAAGAATGATTGGCACAACTTTGGTTTAATCTCTGCCAACTTTCATGAATCGATGGTAGCCAACATTTATGGTTGATGAAATAATACACAGTTTAAAATAAAATATAGATACAATCTAATATTTAAAAAAAAAAAAAAAAAGATACATATACAAATCATCAGAAAAAATTTCAAGACACTCACTTTTATACCAACGATAAGACCATTCATCAAAAATGTATGACTAGGAAAAGTTTCATTTAAAACCTATAAGTAAACATAACAGATAATTTTAAATATGATGGGAAATGTTTCACAATTACTATTAAAAATGAATCATTAATTCATTTGCATGGTTTTTTACATTAAATGTAGAAACTAATAAAATAATATTAGTATAATTAAATGATAATCTCCACTTCAGAATATTATTACAATTCTTGGAAAATGAACATATGCATATGTGTATGTACAGACACACACCAAATAATAAATAAACAACTGAAGACTTATTTTCCTTAAAGACATTTTGCAGGGTAAACTAAAATGATAAATCTGTTATGCACTTACTGTTATCATTGGTGATGTTAACAAACCCCATGCAAAGAACTCTAAAAATATCACCACCAATGCATGGTAAATACTGGGTTCACCAATTCCAGATGACTGCAAATAGAAGATCAATATATTATAGATTATCATTTATTTAGATTATATATATTAGCCTTTTTCTTTAATATAATTTAAAAAGAAAAGGCTAATAAGAATTTCCTATAAAACAGCTGAAACTTCCATCCATAACTATTCTTCATATTATGCAAATATTATTTACAAATCTATTAAATATATACACATATAAAATAATTTTACATCACATAAATGATGTACATATATACAATGTTTCAAAGCACAAGGCAATACTTTTATATGTAAATACATCATCTGTAATTATGAATCAAGCAGTGTAGCTGTTTTATGCCTTTCTTAAATAAATAAATCTTTTGGTACAACTCTGATATTCCCTAATTTCACCAAATGTGGGATATGTGTTCTGCGATGGTTTTTGGCACGATTGCGCGTTGTATGGCATCCCTATTGACATTGAAAAATCTTTCGCTGGAGTTCGTTGGTTCGCAAAGATAGGGGGCAGAGGTAAAATAGTGGAAGTTGTTGAAGTTTGGCAAAAGGAAATATCATTCCGGCCATTCTGTTGAGGGGCAGTGGGTATTTGGAGGTGTGGAAAGAAGGTCTGGGAGATTACTTTTAGTGGCCGAGCATGATAGAAGTAGGGATTTGTGATTTTATTTATTTGTGAACCATAGAATAAATTTTCTAGATCATATAAATACGATAGTATTACGTGGCGGCATGTTAAAGGCGGTATGAGATTGGTATTTCTGCTGTTCGAAAAAGCATTAATTCATGGTAAGTGCATTTTATTTTATTTTTGTTCTCATTTTGTAGTATGTTATGCTCATTGTTTTTTTAGTATGAATTTCTGTCGTTATTGTTGTTTTTTTGAATTGTTCGAAATTTGGTTTAGTTTATTTTGTTGATTAGTGCATAGCGTCTAGATTGTGCAATTTGTAGATATTTTTTATATATTCATAATAAGTTGAAATATAACGCTGAGTACATGGTATTCTTTGAAATTTATTGTTGTTATGGTTAATTTATTAAAGCGAGGTGTGCATAGTTCATAGATTCGTTTGTTGCCTAGATTGTGCCGTTCGTAGATGTTTTTTTAAGTTAAAACATATCGCTGTGTACTTAGCTTAAATTGTGTGTTCAAAAGGTGGTTTTTGCATTTGGCGGAAACCGCGTTTTTGGAGCCATTTTAGGCTGAAAGTTCAAAATGTAAACAAAAAATTTAGACAGCGTGGAGTTTCTCGCCAAAAGTGTGTGGCGAGAAATTTAGTGACTTAAGGGTGCATATCAGAATAGTTCCAATCTTTTATATGAGACATCTATAGTTTTATATGTGACCTTTTATTGCATGAATAAAGTCAAACTCCACTTTACAATAGCTCATTTTTTGATGATATAAAGCTGTAATGTATTAATTAAGCCTAAATGAAAAAAAATACTAACATAAATATGTAAATAAATTGATTCGCAGGCCATAAGTTAAAAATATATTTTAGGGTACCCCTTGGGAAAAATTGGCGAATTTTGCGCCATTCTTGTTTACATCCAACACCCTCTCCAGTAAAATGGTGTCCATAATGCAATAAAACATAAAAAATTATAATCTCAATAAACTGTATTTTACATAAAAATAAATAACATAAAAATGCAAATATGCATTATCTAATCTGCACAGTAAAAAAAAAAAGGAAATATCAACTTACCTTATTTATCGATGTGTAACACACACAATTCTTTAACAGCATTAAAAACTATTTAAAATTACGGACCTACTCTTATATGCGCCCTCAGGTTGGCAAATGCAGCGACAAATTTCTCGCCAAACATCTCATTTTCATCATCATTTGGCGAGAAACTCCATGCCGCCATATTACTACCTAAATTTTTTGTCTACATTTTCGAACTTTGGTTAAAGTTGACTTGGGTACTCCTTGTATTATCACGAAATTGTTGTTTCATTTATTGCCAAGTTGTTGCCTCATTTATGACAACCTGAGTAGTTAAAGCCTATGGAAACCCTATTATAACGTAACTGGTTGTGGCAAATTTGAATCATGGGAAAAAATTTTTAAAAGTGTGTGTCGGGTTAAGGTAAGGGCTTGTGTGTGATGGATTAGTACGTTGTTATTTTGTGATTTACATGGTAAATTGGCTGAATGTGGTAAGATAAATTTGAAGTTTCTATAGGATTTGGAAGGAAAGGGAAAATATAATTACCGTAATTTCCGGAAGAAAGGCCGCATCAGCATAAACGCCGCACTCGAGAAAAATGGCGGGAAAAAAATTAAAACTACACAGAAACGCCGCAATAGATTAAATTGCGCGTGACATCGTCGTGGGCCGTATAGATGTAAAAACTCAACCTAAGTCCTGATATATGACATACCATCTCCCTTCGGAATAGTTTTTCGTTTAAAAATGATCATCGGCTTTAGCTTGTCACCGTTCACGACACAAGCTAACACACATGTAAATGACGTTCTTTCATGCCCCGTCATAAACATAGATACAGTTTTTGCACCAGTTTCATCAACAGTTCTGTTTGCAAGAGAGTCGAAAGCTAACGGCGTTTCATCCATATTTATTATCTGTGACCGAAGAAGTTTTTTTTGTCAATAATAGCTGTCACATATTTTAGAAAAGATGAATTTTATACTGCCAGTCCATTGGTAATTGTTGCCCTACTGTTGTTCTAGTACGCACAGAAATATTTTTTCTTTTCATAAATCTGCTACACCTCCTTTGAAATCATTTATGTTCATTTGTTTTGCTATAAATTTTGCTTGTAAGCTAATTTTTAAAGTCGAAATTGCCATTCCCTTTCCTCGTTGCTCCTTTATCCAGTTTGCAAGGTCGTCCTCTCGATTTGGCCACCTTACAGTACCACTTCTTTTGGCTCGTTTCTGTTGTGGCATATTTTTAAGAAGTTCTTTTTCAGTTCTCCAACGTCGAATACATCTGTCGTCCACTTCAAACTCTCGAGCTGCTGCTCGATTTCGAATTTGTTCAGCACGTGAAATTACACTAAGCTTAAAACCAGCAGTATAGCTTCTGTGCCGTTTAGGGACATTTTCAAAAATCTTCCGCTCCCTTCTTACTTAAAAACTATCCAACAAGTACTTGTACTCACTGATGGGATCTGTATCTGGCAGAATGCCAATAAAAATCCATTCATGCTGAAGGGGAAATACGTCAGAGTTCGTTATTGCGAGGTAGGTGGAGTCGTGTCCGCCTTTGAAAAAAATTGCAGAAAAGGCAGGGGTGGGGAAAGGATGGGCCCTGGAAGATTCATCGAATGGCAGAGGAGAGACACTATTCGAACTGATGAGAATGTTGATTTGAAAGGGGGAAGAATGTTATTGTTCTGAGATCTCGTTTAGGGTGAATAAGGCATGTAGGTCCGTTCAAGGGAAAGAATGTAAACAAAATAACGTTCGCAAAAAGCAACTGAATGGTCTTTTGTGTGGGGACAGCACCAGTCTATGCACAATGACAAGGCCATCCAAACTATGTACAATGACCATCATAGGAAATATTTTATTTTAGTGCACCTAAACGCCGCACCCGCTGAAAATTTAAGTTTTAAACACGTAAGCGCCGCGGCGTTTCTTCCGGAAATTACGGTAATTGACTGGTCCGGTTTGGAGGAATGAAATGCGTATGGTTGAACATCGGATATTTTCGAATGGAGGAAATTTTTTACTCTTATTTTGTGAATTTATGTGGCGACACCAGTATACAGATTCTAGTTCAGATAGTTTGGATGCTGTTAAGGAATTTTGTATGACTGAAGACGCATAAATTCGTAAATAAGGTAAGTGGATATTTTCTTCGTGAAGTGCTAAGATTAATTTTCCTTTTTATGTTATTTCATTGCTTGATTTAAAATGTAGTTTATTCAGATTATATATTTTTTGTTGGCTGCTCCTTTGACTTTTTAAGTGAATATAGTTCGATGTGCACATGGACAAAGTCAAGGGAGTGCACAAAGCCTAGATTTGTTAGAAAATATGAGCTATTGTAACCCTTTTTCTGCATCATCTCTCCTCCTTGAAATATTTCTAACTTTTACTTATTCTTACTTTAAAGTTCTTATTTACTTAGTTCTTATTTTAAAGGGATATAGTAGTTATTTCTACTTTTTCACTCCCACTGTTTATATTAAGAATGGACTGTTCCAGCCTAATTAAGATGCAAAAACGAAACTTGATGTTACGTCATCTGGAAAGCTGAGTCGTGCCGATAGCTGATTGATTGCCATGAGATGATGTCATGTCTACTTCAGGTATAAGTAACTCGCGTCGCTCTGGTTTATTCCTTCTGGTTGCTGTTTTATTGCTCCGTGGTGTGCCGTTTCCAGCCGCAATTGAAAGACGATATTGCGATGCGTGCAGTCCGGTGATAAGTGCTGTGGTTCCAGTCCGAAAGATGACTTTTTCTGTATCCTGAAAAGCCACGACGGTGTAACTGCCGTGGGTAGCATTCTGTCTTCATGAAGGCGACATCTTCAACACAAGTGTTTATCTAGAATTAGCGGCGATGTTTTTCCAAGCTGTGATTTCTCGTGTGTAACTACAGTGAGCAGCTTTTTGCCGGTTTAAGTGCTCTCAAGGATTTAGTTTAATTTTTCAGGTGCCTTCTTGACCACAAAGCATGGACTTATTGATAGTGAAGCGAATTTTATAGTAACCGCGTAGTTTCTGTTTAGTGATATGTTTTTCGCGTATTGAATGCCAGTATTTAAAGATCAGGTAAAATATTTACTGTATCTTTAATAGTGTAATATTCTTTAAAGGAAAAACCCCTGGGGTTAATGGATGATCAATTAAGTGTAATTTTTTTTATAATGATTATGTTATACTCTTTAAGTTTCTGATATTGATTAAATTTATTCATTGTGTTTTTATTTTTATATATTGTTAATAAATTTGTTAAGTTTAAAACTTTTGTCTTCAATGTCTGCACAGTATATAACCTTAGGAAGTATAGTATATAACCTTTGCTACTACTGCTAAATG